TTGGCAGCACGTCACTCCCGGATAATCGAAAATGGGCAAAAAGGCGGGACGTGGGTGAAGCTGGTGCCTGGTTGCTGAAACCACGCCTGTCTATAGTGACAGCAGTGCTGACGTGCAAAGACAAAACACCTTAACTTCGTTTTTGGTCGAAAATTAGTTATTGATAATTTTGGGACATATATGATGACCTCCTTTATCATGTGTATGTATCTTGGAGAAAAGCCCCGGAGAAACCAAGGCAGAACACAGTATCATCAATTACTTCTCTTTTTCTTTAAAGGGGTCATATGATGCGATTTCAATTTTTCCTTTCATTTGCCACTGATGATTCAAACGCGAGTTTTGAGCAGTGTAGAGTAGCACTTGTTGTTTGTCATTTCTCCTATCACAAATGCAGACAGTATAAGTCATTATAATCCGTAATTATGTCCCCACTGGATGCAACGAATGCCTAGTTTATAATGTTTTTGTCTCGTCGCTCCGGCCTGACAGGGCACCATCACAGTATGGTGAGGGGCGTAACATTTCCGTCACACGCTTGAGGTATTCGGCCAATCATAACGCACTGGATAGCTGGCCAATCAGAGCACACCTCGCTTTTCAGACAGATGAGATTTGTAAAAATCGAAGCGTTTCAGAAAGGCGGGGCATAGAGGAGAAACAATAATGTACAGTATGTGGAAAATAATGTGTTTTTTGAACCTTAAACGGCATAAACACATTTCATTACACCAAATACACAAAATAATGTTCTTTTTAGCAGCATCATATGACCCCTTTAACATGGCAGGTCTATGGGACTGACTCCCTTTTGGAGCCAGCCTATAGCGGTCAGTCGATGAATTGCAGTTTTAGTCACTTCCGTGTCGGTTTCACGAGAGAGACCGTAGCCTAGTTATCGTTGGCCAGTAGCCTAGTTGAGAAAATAAAATCGTATGTTAGCTAGGTTAAACAAAAGTTAATGGCTAGCCCTGGTTTTAGCATTAGTTTGTTATAGTTTTTTAATGGAATTTTAGATTTTACTGCATTTTGTGTGTGTGTGTTTTAAAGTCAGCTGCAATAAAGCATCAAGAAAGACATGAGCTGGCCAGCCACTCTGAGACTGTTTCTTGGTAAGAGAAGAGCTTACCTATGATTTTGAGAGGTTTATTCCACTTGCCTTATAAAAGTGTGTAATTTCTTCTTGTTTTTCAGGGAACACATTTCTCTCTGTAATAAAGTGGATGGTGAGCAAAGGTGGCCTACGTTTTGGAGCTGCACCTTGGTTTTGCAGATGCCTTATAGCATCGTGACCATACGTGCCATTTTCCCAGGACGCGTCCTGGCCAGGATTTCTATATTGCCTAAAATATCTAGGTTTTGGCTTTGTTTGCGTGTGCAGACCGATCAGACGGTTCCTTATGCTTTCAAAATGCTCTCGAGGTACTCTGATGTCAAACACTGATCGATCTGAGCCGCGCTGCTTTTAAGTCGACCACATATCCTATGTACGCGTAATTGCATCGCTTTGACCGTAGATCCCACCCTCTCTCACACACCATGATTGGTCCATTATGTACAATTCCTGCATGTTATTGGTCAAACTATTTTTCTATCATTACCTTCAGCAAGCATGAAAACAGGAAAA